TCATTATCAACCTGCAAGAAAGTTCCTTCTCTGATTCTTCTACTCATGATGCCTGGATTAATTTATCCACTAAATACTTACAAGTCTGAGAATCATTTTTGCTCTTTCCTCGCCAATCAACTAAAATATCCAGTTAATATCCAATATACACTGATATTTTGAAAGTTGTTTTATGATGAAAAATTTCAAAAAATCAAAGTAATATATATGTATGTGTATATATCCATAAATACACACACACACACACACACACACACACATATATATATATAAATCTGCATTTCCACCTTGCAACTGACACTATTTTCAATTCTTAATATACTCTTATCCTGCCTTCTTTCTTTATCTTTGATAGATACCTGGATTTTAGCATCTAAATATTTCTGAAGGCTAGCCTAATTCTTCTTGACTCTGCTTTAGCCAGTTCTTCAATTCTTGCAATGTTCTAGCATGCCAACCTGGATGTTAGCTACTATTTTCTATATTTCCAAAACTGTTTTGAACCTCAAATCCAATCCAATTTGTCTGCTACATAAAATCTGTTGGTAGCGATCTGTGACTCATTAAATGCAGTTCCAAATTTTTAGCCTGTATTTTCTCAGTTTTGACCATGGCTACCTGCATAGATTTTTGTCCAAAAGCCTCTACCCTCCTAGCCAGTGTTCCCACAATACAATTTTCCTCTAAACTACACTGCTCCTGCTGGCTTCTAGAATTTGGGTAACTTCCTTTGCCTGAGATATTATCCATGCCACTTTTCTTTGCCTAAACTCTTACTTGTAGAACTAAAATGCCTGGCTCAAGCATCACTTCCTCTTCAAAGCCTTCCTTCTAAATAATCTTTTGTTGTTGTTGTTTATCTATTCACATGTGCATACATTGTTTGGGTCATTTCTCTACCCTGTAACCCTCCCCTTTCTTTCTCCCCCTCCCCTCCTCAGTTCCTTCATCACTGATTTTGTTGAAGAAAGGACATATGCATAATAATCTTTAATAATCTTTAATCTTCATCCTGAAAATGACCTGAGGAACCATTGCCTTGTGTGAGTTGCTACAATATTACTAAAGACCTCTTTTATATGCTGAACACACCACTGTCTAATAAAGCTGGGTCTTTGGATATCTACTGCAGCAGTCATGCATCCCATTAAGTTGGGATTGTGTTCATGCCTTCTTCCTGAAATGCTCAATACATTATATTAGAGATGAGGCAGGAAAATTTGCTGACGATATGCTACATATTTCTAAAATTATTTTAGAATTTATCTCCAATTTAACTATTCTATAATAAATTTTTCAAGAAACTTCTAAATACACATTCATTTATCCCAATGAATAATTAAGTGTAAAGTGACAGCAAATGGAAAAAATAAATGGTAAGCACAAAAGCAAAAAACAGACTTTTACTATAGTGTACCATCTAATGGAACTCTCTCCTTGAAGATTAATTATTATGAAGACGGATACTGCAAAGTTTAAGGCTATTTAAATAATTCATATTTATATATTACTTCACAAAAATAATTTCTTGCCTATCTCCTCTATCTTGAGGGAAGAAAGGAGGTTACTTTCAGATAAGTGGTATTTTACTGAGTAAAATTTGAGTAAGACCATTAGGGAATACGTCTATATCAAATCTAGATGATTGGAATATTAGAAAATATTTTTATTTCCAAATTCTTGAGAAGGAAGCTAAGAGGTCAAGTGGCCAAAACTCTACAGAAGGAAGAGAATGAAAAATCAGTCAACCTTTTAATTTTTTGCCTATTAGTATGTTGCCCAAGACTAGTAAAATTATAGTTAAATAATGTATTGGTATCTTAATTTATTTTTAGAAATACAGTCAGTTTAGGTGAAGTAAAGTCATTCATTTTCTTGGATTCTGACCTGTACTTCAGATCTAGTGACTCCTTTTCTCTGTCTTTTTGCATATCATTTTCACAGCTATAGTCCACAAGGGATACAATCCTCATCGTTTTCTATATTACCAATAACTGATCTGAGAACACAATTTCTTTTAAAGTTTAATATGAACTTTTCTCAGCATGCTGTGAAGGGAGTCAAATTTAGAAATATAAATGAAAACTTTTATTTTAATAAAAACTCAATTATATGCTTCTGTGTTAAGTTGCCTTTGGAATATGAACTCTGACAGGAGGGCACAGATCCTGACTTTTTGATTAATTTTTACTTATTTCCCAATATAGCCATTCACATTTGGGAACTGAGAAACTCCATAAATATTTGAGTAACTAACTGACTGCATCAAACCCAACGTGGGTAAAATATTTTTTTAACATGATTTAGGTACTTGTGTTCAATTTGTGAACCACTTCTCCATTGATTTTAATGAACTCATTTAATTTCTATTTTATGCATTTATAGCCAGATAGTCCTGCTTTCTGAGCATGTGTGTATATATACCCATATAGAGTTCTACAATAATTTATTTTTATAATATAACTAATAAAATATATACATGTTATCAATGTATTAACTTTTCAGCATTTTGTATAAGACCAGTCTCAATTTACCTTAATTATTGTTACATTTTTAGAAACTTTCCTCAGCTTCTCCAAACCTCAGATATCGTGGTTGAGGGGAGACAAATGCCTGAGCAAATGCTAAATCTAAGCAGTGTTTAAATACCCTTTTCAAGTTTAGAAACTTTTCGATACTTCAGGTGAGGTGCGTACTTCCAGAATCACAAGTTGCACCACCTTCTGGAGTCTGACAGGTGATAGTGTGATACTTTCAACCTGCCTGGCCACAATCTTTTACTTACATTGTCCCAAAGTTGTTGGCCTCTGGGCAGAGTCCAGAACTCTTCCCTTACTTTCAGTTTACCCAAGAATAAAGCAGATCATGTGCAAGGGACTAGAATTTTCAGAGGAACTAAAGTTTTCAACTTCACATGTCAAGAAGCTATGATAAGGTAGAAAGGGGTCTGACAGCATGAGGATTGGGGGTTAGAAGGTTGTAGGGAAGAGGAGGAGTGGTGGGGCAAGAGGAGAGAAAAAGGAAAAAAGAAACCCTCTTTTTTTTTAATGGTACTTGAGCTTGAACTCAGGGAAGACACCTCGAGCCTCTCCACCAGCCCTTATTTGTGAAGGGTTTTTTCAAAGATAGAGTCTTGCAGAACTATTTGCCCAGGCTGGCTTTGAACTAACTGTGTTCTGCCTCCTGTGTAGCTAGGATTATGGGCGTGAGCCACCAACACTCAGCCAGAAAGAAACCCTCTTAAAGATGAGGTGTAAGGCTAGCTCTGCTTCTCATCATTTGAAGAAGATATTACTCCTTCCTACAGTGCATGTAAAGCTTCAGTGAATCAATATTTATGGGAGACTGGAAAAATCTGCAACTCTTCACTGAGCAGCTTCATGTATAATAACCTGGGTATCAATTCAGTGTTACATACAACTCAACTTCTATAAAGAAGTTAAATTTGGTTTAATTTAAATGAAGAATAAATATGAAAGGTGACTTCTAAACTTGACCTGTTTGGGCAATAATTCAACTATAATTTCTCTTTGTGTTCCCCAGTTAGATTATCTTTGCATTCTGTAATGCCTCAATCACTCCATGTCTTCATCTTTCTTGCTCTCTTTTTTTTTTTTTACCTTTAGTCTCCTTTCTTCTCTCTTACTAGTACTTATTATCTATTCTGTATTGTTCAACTTGGGTCTACCTGTTTCTTGGGACTACACAGCAAATTCCCACCAATTTAGTGGCTTAAAACAACAGGACTTTATTTTCTAACGCCTCTAGAGACTGGAGGTCTGGAATCCAAGAGTTGGCGTGCTCATGTTTCCTGCAATGAGACCAGGGAAGAATTCTTCCTGGCCTCCTTGCATCTCTGTACTGGCTGTGAGCCATGCCTGGCATTCACTGGCTTGTAGCAACATCACTTCACTATCTCCTGTCTTCACAATCTTTTCTTCTGTCTCTATATGCAAATTTCATTTATTTTATACAGACATCAGTCAGTGGATTAGGAAACACCCTAATCCAGTATGACCACATTTTAGCTTGATTATATCTACAAAGATCATATTTCCAAATAAATTCATATTGACCAACTCTCTGGGATTACTGCTTAAACACACCTTCTTGAGAGATTCAGTTCAGCCTACAGCAGAATCTTATGTCCTCTCCAGACCATTGTGATCACTTCTAAGAACTTATTTTCTAATCCAGTAATTTGACAGATAATATAAATATGTTTTCTGATCTTTTTTCTGGGGGTGGAGTCAGTAATGGGTTTTGAACTCAGGTCCTTACAGTTGATTAGCAGCACTTTATCTGTGGAGCTGTCTCAGCTCACATTCTGATCTTTAAAAAGGATTTCTGGACATATATTGTTTCTTGTAAATTATAAGAATACAAGCGTAAGGACCATGATATAATTCCCTTGTGTGTGCATATATGTGTGCTCGTACATATATGGAATTAAAGAGAGAGAATAATGTAAAGCATATGTTTGTGAATAAATGCATTAGTAAACAAATGAGAAGATAAGGTAATAAGTAAATAAGGTATAAGTAAAATAAATGGTCGATAAGGTAATACAAACTTCTACTAGGGAAAATGATGAAAATAACTAGTATGTGATAAGAGCATGTCAATTTATAATCTCTTATTTTTCATTTTTACCTAATGATATACTTTGAATAATTAGAAGGCATATTAAATAAATTCATAATCAGGCAAATGTTTAGTGACATTAGTATAGTTAAATGACATATAAAATTTGAAAAATATTAGGATATAGATTCAATAGCCATGTGCAGTGCTTTTGAGTTGACGCTATTTTGCTTGCAACTACAAAGGTTTCACATCATAAAACATGTATAGAAGGCAAATTCTTTACTCTTGTCTTTGAAACAAACACTGCACTACTTTAAACTAGTCAGCCATCAAAATTCTCAAATGCTTATGAAAAATAGTAGAAATTCATGAAAATTATATAAAAATGATGTTTCAAATTGATATGTCCACAGATGATAATGAGTGTGGAAATTTAACCCAGCCCTGTGGTGAAAATGCTAACTGCACTAACACAGAGGGAAGCTATTATTGTATGTGTGCCTCTGGGTTTAGATCCAGCAGTTACCAAGACAGGTTTATCACTAATGATGGAACCATCTGCATAGGTAAGTTGAATTATCTAACTTAAATTTTTTTTCTGTTTCTTATTACTTATTTCCTCTAGAGATTAAATAATATTTGAACCAAATTCTGCTGAATCCTGATTGTCCCCTAGTTGTTCAATACTTTCAGAAATGTCATTAGTTTCTAAATTCTCCAATGTTATATATCAGTAACTAAGAAATATTTATCCAAGGATATAAGAAAATGAGGTGAACTCTTTTCAAAAACAAATTCTTTGCTACTTCTTTTACTTTAGGCATAAATAATAAATTATCTTATTTTTCTAAATATTATTCAGTTTACCTACAAATATAATTTGCTCCAACTTGAAATCTGAAAAATTAATACACAAGCTGATAATTTAATCATATAGCCAAAGGAGATATGGCACAGGAAATTAAGATTCTATATTTAACACAGTCAGGAAAGGTGTGCTGCTTCTCCCTTACATAGTTAGATAAAAGAGTGGTATTCAAGTTAATGTAAGTCACACTGAAGTCTTTGATTATTTCCCTAGTGATATTCTCATCAGTAAGCTAAGCAGAAGCCTCATAATATTCACATTAACTCGTGATAAGTTATGAGACAATATTCAAAGAAAATTTATCAGTGAAATAGCAGTACCAAAGAAATCATCCAGTCCCATACACCTCTGCATCATACTTGTTCTGCTATGCAAACAAGATTTTCTTCTTGTCATTTTATACCCAAGGAAGGTGAAGGGCTACTCTAGATTTACATATGTAAGATAAGGAGAGGGCTAGAGTCACAGTCATATCTCTAGGAGGCCATTGTTATTGCCACAGGAGACTTAATATGAGTGGGCCATTTAAGTCTCACACTGCATATTGCAGTGTAGTAAATTAATTTTTGCAAGGGTATAAAAAATTTTAAATGGGAGAAAATAATGCTATTCTTATTGAACAATAATTTTATCTTTAGTAGTTGCAGAAAATGTTTTATTGGAATGTAGCATTGCAATGTATTTAGGATCTAAGAATCTATGAAGTTCTACCCAGAAAATTTACAGCACTTTACTATCTGTTCTTCTCAAACCTATATCCCTGTTGCTAATCTCAGAATGTCATATAATGTATTTTATCTTTAATAGTTATGTTCAAATTTTGTAGCTCTGTAAGATTTATTAGAAATGTTTCAGTTAGTGAAGATGTTTAACTTGTAGCATCTTAATCACTGTAATACAGTACAATTTTATCTAATTGTATCTGTGTTCTCACTTAATACCACTACTCTCTAGAAAAATCTGTCTTTTCATCTGATCAGGTTCACTCTTAATATTCATCAGTTCACAAGGAACTATATTTCTCTCTTCATTTTTTCTTTTTGTTGTTGTGCTGGGTGAGGGTATTCTTTACAAGTAAGAATTCCTTCTTCAGAAGAAACTGAATAACAGACAACAGAAGAAACACACATACACAAAGGTGATTGAATGACAACATTTTAAGGAGGGGTAGTATATTTGTAATTTAAGACTTCTTCTCCCAATAGTTATTTCTATTAAAATTCTGTGGAATGTCCCTAAGTTTTTGATAATTCCCTTTTTGGCTATTTTAAGTAGTCAGTAAACACAATAACTATATCGAAACCCAATACCCAGCACTGAATCCTTCTGTTTCTACCTATTTTGTTTGATGGATTATTCAGTGAAAAACTCATTCTCTGGAAAAATGTTATTTCTCACCAATTTTGTTGTCCTTAAGGATTAAGCTTCTCTGAGAAGCTGTGCAGCTACTTCTTTTATCTCCTTAGGGAATTTAAATGGAGAACCATGAATCTAGCCTCTTTTTGCATTAGTACATCACCTGGTAGTATACTGCTGATTTGGAATTCTAGTTGATCATTAAATTTGACAAGCATAGTAATTATAGTCATTAAAAACCTTAATAAATGAAAAATGGAAAAGGACTCCTCAGCAAAATTCTTTGCCTTTAGTCTTTATTTAAATACTAACTTTCAAAGATAAGGTAATTTTGTCACAGAGGCTTTGGGTGAGATTTAGCACTGTGCATATTTTTTCTACTCTAGAAATCACAGTAAAATAGAATGTCAGATGCCCATCATCCATGAGAGCTAGTTCTAGACTATCATTTTACATGTGGGAAAAATGAAGCAATCAATAGTTAAAGTGACTCTCCCAAAGCCTAATGAGTAGAAACCAGGAATTTCTTCCTTCTGTGTGCTTCAGAGTAGTGTTTACCAACTGGAATTTTTTGTGCCCTATTTGTAGTACACAGTCTATATAATCATATATGCCCTCACTCCTGGCTTTGAATAATATTAAAATTGAATTTTGTTTTTCTAAATCATTAATAATAATTGTAAGCTTATGATCAAAGCCATCATATAATCTTGTTTTAAAAGGAGATTATGATAAAATACTACTGGATGGACTAATTATAGACATGAAAAACAAGCATAACCTTTTCCATGAAAAAGTAGTAAATGAATTAAGATTTTTAAGGTTGCATTTGCATTTAGTAATATTTAAGTATGTACATAAAGTTAAGTGACAAGTTGGTAGTGGGGAAATTGAGTGAATAATTAAATCTCATCTGTCAATCTTATCCTGACTTAAATGCTTACATAGCCATAATTTAGTTTCATTAAGATGGAGAACAGGGTTCTTTTTATCTTTTATAAATTTGGGGGTTACCAAGACATGACAACCTAAAAAAACTCATTATCAATTTGCATCTCTAAGTGTACCAATTCAAAGGCTCCTAAAATTTGGAAAAATGTAATAAGAATACAATCTCTGATCTAGATTCCCAAATACAATATCAGGTACCTACTATATGCTAGGCACTACTTCGAATACCTTCACATACATTTTCTCGTTTGTTATGAGATAGAACTCTTCTAAGTTATATGTATTTGTTTCAGGTACTACTCAAGGTTACATAGCTAGTGAGTGTAAGAGTCAGGATTTAATTTAAGGTCTTCTGTTTAGGAAACCCCATGACTTTTCTTTCAGGAAAGTGGAAGCAGAATAGATTTATCAGGATCAAGTCATATACGCTGTGCAAGAGATTACCATAGAAGTCAGCATGGATCTTGCTGCAAAACATGTGTCACATGTATTTTGGCCAGGGCAACTTCATCCCCATTAAAGGTTTATTACTCTCTATCTTACTATGTAAAAGGAGGGGGGCATAGAACAATGTACTGAGGATAATGGAAGGTCTTTTGACTGCGTTGGCATATAGCCAGTTGTGGTGATCACCTCACTATTACTGGGTTAAACTCAATAAATTCTACCCCCAAGGCCTAGAGTGATGATATCAAATCAGTAAGCCCCATTTCCACATTTTAGTGAAATATTGTGGGAAGAAATGAATAAGCCACAGGGCAGTTAGAAAAAAATTGTTCGATAGCATAATTAATATCCTTTCATAACATTTAAAGTCTGAATATAAAAATGTACATAACCTTAGTCTTGAATGTTAGTAGACTAGAACACTTCTACTACTACTACTTCTGTTACTATTATTCGATTACCATATTATCTTTTAGTGAATTCAGAATCTGAAATACTCTACTTGGTCCAAGTTGCTGGGATAACAGTAAGCTGAGTGAATGATGGTGGGAGAGCTTGAATTAGAGCAGAGATATCAAAAGAAACTCCAAAGAGTGTGAAGGGGGCACAAGGAGAAAATGAAACAAAGTCATTAATAAATAACAAGATTGTATATATTTAAACCCAAAGTAGAAGAGAATGTATTGAAATTGATTTTGTAAAGCAAAGATTTTTATGTTGCTAACAGACTGGGTTTCAAGTAATGTTCCCAAGAATATTGCATATTTAAACTGTTTTAAAATATAGAGAAATCAACATCTTATTTGCAGAATTCACAGAAGCCATCAAAAACAAGAAAATATGGATATACAAAGAATATATTGTCTTTCCCATGAAATACATGGTGTTGTTTATGATACTTCATTCGATTATAGCTTCATTGGACATGTTTCCAGTTAGGATGCAGCATCTGTTTCTTCAACAACTGTCCAAATATAACTGGTCTTGGCTTTAGTCCCATGCTGTCCTCACTTTATTGACTTCAATAGCCACCAATAACTGTAGTCTGCACTGCGATATACCTACAATGAATGCTTTCCTTGATAGTCAACCTGCTATAATTCGTCCCTTACTTTAGTCGTTGCTCATTTGTTTCTGTGGAAGGATATTTTCTGAATAGAAGTAAAAATAAGGGCAAGTGGATTAAGGTTGTGACAGTAACATCCTTGTTTCTTTAGATATAGTATTTGGATTTCTGGATAGTACAGATCATGAATACATAGACTTTTCAGAAGAACCAGAGGTTTTATAATCTTCTTTCAACCGTTAAATTATCTTTTCGAACCTAATATCGTCACGTTTCTAGTTAATGGAAATTTCTTCATAATCTAGCAAGTGGTTTCACATCTGTTCTGATGTTTGGATGTTTTTCTGTGCCTTTATTGTATTTTGAAGTGAGAAATTGGGAAAGGTGTATTTAAAATAGAAGCAAGATGGCATTTTAAATTAGACTTTTTAACTCCTTTTTTATACTGGTAAATAGTAAAAAATAAAATTGTTAACTTAAAATTAGAGATTCATTTATTAATCTAACAGAAAGTGTTTCTAACATGTCAAAACTGAGCTAGGCACACGAAAATATTTGCATTAATTTTGAGATAATGGTCTGGACTCTTCAGTTCTTCAGAATCGTTCATTATCCTGGCAGAATATTTATAACTTGAAGGCATTCTTCACTGCAGTATAAAATTTTAAATTAAGAATATAAACAATGTGAGCTTAAAAGCCAGCACTTTTTATGGCTTCAAGATATAGCTGCTGAGAATTTAAGACTTAATTCTGTATAACTTATTACTTTACTTATACTTAAGTATGATGATTGTACAGTAAGAATCATAGTAAAACATAATTTCAAACGAAAGTAATAAATTGTGTGAAATTTTAAGGGTCTTGATTCACACTAAGATCTGTAGCATCTTAGTTTTTAGGGTCATGTACATGCAAAAATGAAACTTTGAAAAAGGTGAGTCAGTCTTTTATCTTCCAGATTATTCTAAAACCAATTGTTCAGATCAGTTTAGCTTTAGACTAGAAGAAAAGAAATTTTAATAATTGGGTATTTTTTAAATAAGGACTAAATGTTATGTCTTCAATGATGGAAATTATTTTAATAACTTTAATTACCTTGTTGATGTAGAAAGCAGATTGAGAGTTTGGCCCAAGAATAATATTTTTAATATTCCATCAAAATGGATAGGCCAAGTTAGAGTTAAAAAATATTTACAGCTAAGTTTTCTCTACCTTTTTCCAAATGATATGGTTTTCCTTGTGCAATTTACTATCAGATCACTATGTAGATGCAAAATGGTTATCAACTCTGTAGCAACTATAGGAGTTGTTATGCTAAATTAAAATAGTAATTTTTCAAATATTTCTAGATATAGATGAATGCAGTGAATCAGTTGTCTGTGGTGAACATGCGGTATGTGAGAATGTAAATGGTGGGTATAACTGCTTCTGCAAGGAAGGTTATCAGACATCCACAGGAAAGTCGCAGTTCACACCAAGTGATGGCTCTTACTGCCAAGGTAATTTATATTCTTAAACTTTATGTATTGTCAAAGAACGGGGTAAAGTATTTGGTATACATTTGTGAAGTATTAAAGAGTTACATTTCCAAGAAATGGTGCCAACATTAATTATGGCCTATAAAATGAATTTTGAAGGGGATATTATTTTATTTCATGGAAAATGTAGAATGCATGTTTTATGTAGTTAACATTCATTCCACAATCCTTAATAGTATTTTCTTCCATTTCTTCTGTGAATTATTACACATTGTAAAACTGAAATTGAAATTTAAATGACAAAGAGTGTGCTATTAATATTTAAATGAATGATCAAAATAATTGCAACCCATATAATCAACTAAGAAAAAATATTTTTAAAACTTACTATGCAATCTATTTTTTCTACAGAAAATGTGAATGCAAATTGCCATTTAGATAATGCCTGTATTGCTACAAATGTTAACAAAACTTTGAAAAAAGTAAGTACTCAAATTAAGTTAAATTTATTTTATTTTGGTAGTTTGATCTCAGTTATAATGCACTCCAATGTCATATTTCAAAAGTAGTTGTTGAACTACTGCCATTTGAAGTAGTTGTTGAAATACTTCTATTATGTAGAATGGAAACTATTTACATACAGAGAACTAAATATTATGATTACATCACAGATAGGATTAATTTGAAACTCTCCAAAGTATTGAAGAAAACTTTAACATATTTAATTTATGGTACTTTTTCTTTATTTGATATACTGAAAGATTATTTTTGACATCTAAAAAATGTTATTGAATGAAAAAGTAAAAATGTACTTTGACTACCCACCCATTCCCAAATTCTAAGGAGACATAGTTGAATGCAACCGGATTTTCTACTTCAAAGAGCAAATAAAGTAGAACATTCATAAGATTATTGTCATGCAATTCGAAGTGTGACTCTCAATATGAGCAATCAATGACCACCTAAAACAAATTTCCATTTCATCACACAGTAAAGAATTTTCTTGGTTGATTAAAATCTAATTCAAGTTATCAAGTTATAGTTTATTAATCAATATATCAATATTTATAAGTACTAAGGAGTTTGAATATTAAGACAGGTTCATTGGTTAGTATATAATATTATTCTGGAGAAACAGGAAGTTATTTTAAAAACCATTTTTGCAAACTATACATTCCAGCATGCACTGACTCTTTGCTTCTTAGTTATTTGCTAATCTATTGAAAATAAATTCAAATTTCAGTGCTGCATGTTATGACTCAAATTTATTCTGGTAATTTACACATAACACAAGAAAACAAACCTTAGAATACATTTAACATGTAAGTCGTAGTCTTAACAAGCTCTTAATAGAGCACTAGGTTGAATCCCTTTTTCTCGACTTATTTTTGCTCAGATGGGACCCAAAGAAAACCCCGTGGCTTTTTTACAAGAAATCTATAGAAATTCTGTGACAGAGCTTTCACTGATGGATGTAATTACATATATAGAAATATTAGCCAAATCATTTCCATTGCAAGATGATATAAATAACACTATCTCAGCCAAGGACACCCTTTCTAATTCAACTCTTACTGTGAGTATGTTGACCTTCAACTCTTAATATAATTGATCTTTATATTTTTCTTACATTTGTGATCATTATGAGATTCCAATATTTTTAAAAGATGTACTTTTTTAAAATAGGAATTTGTAAAAACCATGAATAATTTTGTTCAAAAGAATACATTCGTAATTTGGGACAAATTACCTATGAATCATAGAAGAACTCATCTTACAAAACTCCTGTATACTGCTGAACAAGCTACATTAAGAATTTCTCAGAACTTCCAAAAGACCACTCAGTTTGATACAAATTCGACTGATGTCGGTAAGATATGAAGGTCTTGTTTTCCAAACAAGCCATTCTCAAAAGATCACGATGGGATGGGCCTTTGAAATACTGTTAACTAAATTGGTAGTAGTTTTGTCAATGTAGAAATGATTGGTGGCTCATAGTATAAAAGCAATATGAATGAAGTTCTGTACTGGTGAAAAGGATCACTACAATGGGTGTTACTCCCTATCTATCATGTCAACCTTTTCCTAATTCTGAGCTACTTACCATTTAAGTATGCATAGTACATTGCTCCTGAGTCATTTTCACTCAATCATTTCCTGACTTTTTGGGATCTATTTTGACCAATGACAGTAACATTTAAATTTCTGTTTAGGAATCCTTTGCACTTTGATAATATGAAGCAACCAACATAGCAAATTAGGAATGTTCCTGTTTCATGCAGTTTCATTCTTAAAATATTCAGGATCATGGGTCAAATTGAGGATGCCTCTAAGTTTGTTCTAAAGAACAAGATACATTTTATTAAATAATCTGTTATGTCATAATAGATTTATAAAAATTATAATCTCAAGATTCATCACTTATCAAAATTAAGGTTGCAAGCATTACAACTAGGATATAGGCACCCTACCTTTCTATGAGGCTGCATAAAAAAAGGTGAAAATGTACCAGGTAAGAGAACTATCACCCAAGGATTTTATTTAAGTATTGTTTAGATAATAATTTACATTATAGATGACATACTCTAAGACATTTAGTTGCTTGTCTTTACTTTAGAAGTTGTGTATGGATGACTTTGAGTACATGCATAATTTGTCTTTGTTTCACTCAATAAAAATTATGCAATTGCTACTGTAAAATGAAAAAAAATTAAAACTTGTTAACCTTTAATAACATGAATAATACTGTCCAAAGATGTACATAATATGTTCGTTCTACTTGCTATTAAAAAGCTGAAATTTAATAATCATGGATGAAATTGTCTCTAAATAGCACATTGATTATGCACATTGATTAAACTAATTTCAGAGGATTTATGATTTTCATTGTTTTGTTTCAGCTCTCAAAGTTTTCATGTTTGATTCATACCACATGAAACATATTCATCCCCATATGAATGTGGATGGAGGCTATATAAAAATATTTCCAAAGAGAAAAGCTGCATATGATTCAGATGGTAAGATTTTAACAACTTTACATATAATACATTAATGAATTTTCAATAAATACTTATACATTTGATTATATCATACATGCATGTAACTAATGTGTGCTTTACTACAGAAAAACGTTTGATGTTTATATATAGAATGTTCATATTTGAACTTGAGATTTCATTCTCATGTAAATTCCTGAGAATATTTTTTTAATGTTTTTATTAATATATGATACTTATACAGGGAGTTTTGTTGTTCTTACATGACAATATCTGGGTCCTTGTTCTTCACCACAAAACAAAATTTGTAATTATGTGAAGAAAGAAAAATAGAGATAGTGTTTAAAAAAATAGATCTTCTTTAGGCTTAGACTTCTTTTTCCGGTTGTCACTGCTTAGCCTTTGAGCAGTAAACTCCTCAACTAAATTAAACGCAGAATTAAACATAAATGAATCAAAGAATACTAGTACTAGCAGGAAACAATGATTATCTAAACTAATATTTTTAATTAATTAATATCACTCATGTGATGGATAATGAGATAAAGGTACAAAGTTGATGGATTTGTCTCTGTGTTTATCAGCAAATAGTATGGAACCAGTACCAGAAAGGGGGGAGTTAACAAAGAATCAGCCCAAGCTTTTGCTCCACATTGACCTACAGTCAAGCAAGTAGCTACTATTTTAGCCATTTATCTGCTCTATTAGAACAATGTTCTCAGTAGAATGCTGATGGTAGAATTGCTGTTATAGCTGTTATCATGTAGGTAAAAATACATCATTTAGGGAGAACATGATTTCAAATATTTTCTCTAAGAATAATTGGATGGTTATAAATACAAATAAAAAATATACAATTCATGCATAAGATCCCATGTTTAGACACTACATCATAAAAAGATGAGCTTTATCATTAAAAGCATGCCTCACATTCTCAGAAGAATGCTTATTTTGCTTTATTTACTTATTTTATTTTATTGCACTGATGTGCATTTTTTCCTTATCTATCAGTATTATCCCCTTTATTCTTTCTTAACATTTTCTATGCAAAAGAAGCATATGGTTATGAAACACAAAGGAAAAGCTAGCGAAACTGCCACTAAACCCTACCTTATTAGACCACATCCTATCAATCGACTATGCATACAATATTAAATCCAAAGAATCCATTAAACTGTTGAAATTTCAAAGACAATTTGAATAGTGTTAGAAGTTGGGACAAAAACAGTGAAAACACCTATTATGGTGACAGACGATATTGTCTCAGAATTAATATCTCTAATAGACACTGTTTGATTGTAGGGTAGCTTTGTTATATTAGTGATCACACAAACAAACTGATGTTTGAAAGGGATGGAAATATCAGCTCTCAATAATTCAAAATGAGAAAATATGTTTTCCCCAATGTTGGATCTTAAAAGGGTAAATCTAACAAACTGATCAGAACTTCTCAATGCTATCTACATGTGATTTCATTTATTGATGTAATTCATTAATAAAGACACATGAATTATTTAAAACATGCACAGTGCCATTAGTAAAAAGATAAAGGAGTTTCAAGTATCTCAGTCAGATTTTTAATCTTTGTTTATAGATTGAATTTTAGCAGAGTAGGGAGGGAATTCAGAATAAGCAAAACAAGATTCAATGCTTAAACTTTGGTTTTATGATAAAAAGATAATAGGCTTTTGTTAAGAAATTCCACATTTGTTTTTAAATTACTTAAGAAATTTGAATGATATTTAGATGATTTAGATGACCAAAATAGAGAAGCATATAAAGGCCTTTTGAGAGGATGTTTTTAGTTATTGTCAAGAGAGTTGCATTAAAGCAATTTGAGAACAATGACTCTCTAAGGAGGTCATTGCATAGTCTATGTTGGTAGTAAAAATCATAACTTCTGTCACCCTGATAGTTTTTCAGTAGTCTGGATTGCAACGTGACTGGGCTATAGTAATGCAACTTCAATAATGTTCAAAAGAAACACAGGTAACAAAATGAAATAGATAGATGTAAGGAAAAGTAGTACTACATGGGAATCCCTTAACAAATATATACAAGTATTGATTCTGAATAAATTCTCTAGAACTTCAGCCCAGTTATTTGAACTAAGTAAATGTTAAAATATTTGTTCTGGTCATTGAATTAAAGGATGTATCTTGTCCTTTGAGAATATATGGCTAGTGTTAACAGATGTTTGAAATCATAACATTGTAAAGAAAAAAATGAGAAATGATAGGTATGATTAAGTAGGAATACTCTTTTCAAATAATTCCAAGTTTTTAATTCCTTTCATTATTGAATGAACCCCTAGTTTTTGATGGAACAAAACAGATATTGTAAAAGAGCTCAGGATCTTAGATCTAGGATTAGCAAGATATCATGGGAATTGAAAAAGATTCAAAATATTGATAATGAACAAATGCGAAAGCATTATTTATAAAACAAATCAAAAGGGATTTTAGAGTATTCTGTGCATCTCTTGTTCAAGATAAAAAAACTCATGTTAAATAAATGTTAGTCTTAGGATAATGGTAATGAATAGAGTTTTAAAATTTCCTTATATTACTGATTCTTCCTTTGATTTTGGACCCTCTCCTACTATACACCCTGAGAAGCCACTGCCCTTTTAATTGGATGTCTTGTTAGCCTTCAGGGTTTCAGGTTCTGCATCAGGCCCCGGTCCGCCCATAGCAAACCCTAGGATACTTGTCATCACTTACAGTCATAATTTTACTAACCCAACCATACTGGAATAACATCCATTTGTTTCTTTGATAAAAGTTTTCAAAGTGTCAGATCAGGAAAATATTCTCTGTAATGCGTGGAAGCTAAGCAAGGCTCTCAATAACATTTTCTGTGGTGCTTTTTAAAATCAAGATTGAAAACACAGATAGCAATGGCACTTTCTTAACTTCTTCCTCACACAATCTCAGTGAAGGGACACACTGCCTTTTAGCGTGACATGGAGGTTTCCATTTGTTTTATCAAGATCCTTTGTTATGATGGTATTTTCTGCATTTATATTTGTGACTCTGTAGGTTTGGGCTATATGTTGATACACTATATTAGGGATGGCTGCCTCCCAAGGCAATACATTTCCTCCTCTGACACTGAGTGGCTGTATGTGTACTAAACAACAACCACTATGGGAGTACAAGGTTGAGCTCAGAGGAGCATCACAGCCCATCCAATGCTATACTTTCTTAACTCCATAAACCTGTGGCAATTTTTTCCCCATATCTCTCCAATTCACCTACTACGCATGGAAGCAATAACTCAAAATTTTATTTTTCAAATGAATACACTTCACATTCTGACTCTTTGTTAAGATTTAGATGTAAATTTATCTAGGACTGTTTTCTTACAACTATTGTTTGTGTGGGGGGAATGCTGCAGTACCTCATGATTATTTTTATACTCGTAATGGTCAGGGAATATAAGTGTTAATGTAGATTGGTAATGCTTCTACATATAGGCTTATTGGTGGCCCACATTGCACCATCTGAGTATGTCTATGACTTCATCAGAGTAAAATGTTGGTCTGTTCAATTTTATGCTTATTTTAAGAGCTTGAGTGTATTGACTGTAAGCATTTCACTAAGTCTACTTATTTGATTCATAGGCAATGTTGCAGTTGCATTTTTATATTATAAGAGCATTGGCCCATTGCTTTCCTCATCTGACAACTTCTTACTGGAACCTCAAAATTATGATAATTCTGAAGAGGAGGAAAAAGTCATCTCTCCAGTAATTTCTGTCACAATTAGCTCAAACCCATCCACATTGTATGAACTTGAAAAAATAACATTTACATTAAGTCATACTAAGGTAAGTAATTTTCCTCATGTTGTTGATTAAGGTTGTGAAATACTCACAGAAGTGGATTTTTTTGTTGTGTCACTTATACGTGAGATTTAGAGTTTAAAATACAGATTTAAAATTAAGACAAAACAATAAAATGGTTTCAACCAATTTTGGTTTTTTTGGGTTTTTTTTTGCAATGCTGGGGATAAAACTAAGGGTTTCACACACATTAGGTTGCATGATGCTTCTGAGATAGATCCCCAGCCCAGTCCTCAACTAATTTTCCTATGAAATATGTTTATATTTCCAATGCTCTTCAAAGTTTGTAATCAATACCAAAGAATTTACAAAACTGACAGTCTGAAATTAAGTTATATTCTAGTTTTATCTTTAATACACTATTTCAGAAGTTTCCATACCTTCAAAGAGTTAAATATACAAAAGTATTAGAGCCAAAGAGATAAGTGTCACTTGTGCTAGGTGTTTAGTTAATCTTTATCATATAAAATAATATTTGCAGGGGCATAGACATTGATTACAATAAAATCATAAAGAAGTTTGCCACATTTCATAAAAAAATCAGCAAGAATCATTTTACTCTTATTTTTATCCTAAATAATTTTCAGAGTGAAATATAGTTAAAGCCACAGAATAAAAGACATCATTAGAACTAACCAATATTCAGTTATATTAATTAAAAAAGAATCCAGGAACTGAAAATTGCCAATTGTTGCTACCTTTTTACAGTGAATGATTTCATGGGTTTTCAGCAGAATTTCTGTTTTAATATGTGATTAACATCATTCTATAGTTCATTTGCAGAACCTTGAATCTGCCCATTGCATTTGTTTATTCATGGTGGTGAACAGGGGCCTTCTAAATAGAAATAATACTTATGCTTACTCACAATATAACTGTATATACTAAATGAAGACACTTAATGTCATAGAGAAGAACTAAATGTATTAAAAAAAGGAAGTCAGACATTGTTTCATATGCCTACAATCCCAGCAGATGGAAGGTCCAAGGACAGTCTAGGCTACAGAGTGAGACTCTATATCCAGATTTTAAAAAAAGAAGAAAAGGTTCTGGTAAATAATAGCTGAAACTAGAACAATAGTAAGCATTGCTCTGAGAAAAAAGTTGTCACAGGTTTTCAGAATGAAAAGTATCCTTAGATTTATTGTTCATCTTTTATTTAAATTTAACTGATACATAAAGATATAAAATTATACATGTTTATAAGGTACTATGTGATTTTTCAACACAAGCATATTTTGTGTAATGTTTAGTCAGGTTAAACATATCTATCCCCTAAAGTAGTGACCATTTCTTTTTGGTGAAAGGATTCAAAATTCTATCTCCTATCTTTTTGAAATATATGGCACATTACCATTATAAATCACCCTACCTTGAAATAGCGCACCAAAACTTCTTTCTCCTATTTAACTAAAAATTAGTACCCATTGATCAACTTTCTGGAGCCCTCTTGCCCTCATTCACCCTACCCTCTGGTAACTAACATTCTATTTTCAACATTTATGAAATCAATTTTGTACTTGTTTCTGTTCATGACTTACTTAACATAATGATTTCCATTTCCATCCATGTTGTCATAACTGACAAGATTTTATTCTTTTTTATGACTGAATAGAATCCCAATGTGCACCAGCTCTGTACATCACATATTCTTTATTCCTTCCAACTGATGGACACCTAGGTTGGCTATTGTAAATGCTGCTTCAATAAACATAGGAGTGCAGATATTATTGCTTTGATATACTGATTTCATTTCTTTTGAATAAATGTAGTAGTGTGGCTGCTGAATTCTATAATCATTCTATGTTTACACTTTTGAGGGATATCCACAGTATTTTCCATAATTGCTATACTAATTTACTTTCCTACCAACAATGAGCAAGAGTTCCTTTTTCTCCACATCCTCACTAGGTCTTGTTATCTTTTGTCTTTTTGACATAGTCATTCCAACACATCTCTGGTGATACCTCATTGTAGTTTCAATTTGCATTTACCTAATGACTAGTGATATTGAGCACTGCTTCATAAACTCTGTTGTTTCCTTTGCTGTGAGGAGCCTTTTAGTTTGGTGCAATCTCATTTGTCTATGTTTTGTTTCCTTTTCTTTGTAAGCTAGCTGAAGAGTTACCAATGACAAGCCACTTTACCAATCCCTGTTTAACAAAGAAACAAATCAAACAATAACAAAGAAACTCTCACAGTTAAAAAATAACTTCACAATAATTAATAGAAAATTATCCTTAATATGCCTCCATGTATAAATCTTTTCCATCAGTCATGCCCACTATGAAAATCCCATCACTCCCTCTAACAATGTATCTACTTAATCCTGGTTCTTCTCTTTCTCTGAATGAAGTTTTAATTTTAATTTTCCTGAGAGAATAGGACCTGTCTCATCTATAACATCTTCACTGTCCTAAGAACCCTGTGGCCCCACTGATGAATACCTGCTTCTACATTATCTCAGAAAAATAGTAATGATAGTCACAGTAATGTTAATAATAGCAAACAACTCTTATATAGCGCTAATGTTGACCAGTATGCCAAACTATATACTTTAAAAACTCATGTATTCATCACAAGGGCAATATGACCATTTTATAGATTAGAATCTGAGACTCCAAGAGAGTCAATAATTTGCTCATAGTCACCCAGCAATTACAGATAGAAGGTATCAGTCCCATGCAGTCCTTCTTCAGGACCCATGTCCTCAACAACTGTGATTCTCCTACTCAATCTGATTCCCTGAAGCCATGGACAACCTACTTCCTGAGAAATTAGGCTTCATCTTACCTTTCCTGGATCTCTCCACATTGGTGCCAGTGTCTCAACTGACAAATAGACTCAAGTTTCTGGCTTCTTTCAGAAAAGAAAAGCATTCTTCTTTGGCTCTATATCTCTTTAACCTAACCTCTAACTCTTCTTCATTTTAAGCTACTAGAACTAGGTATTATCTACTGACTTTCACCTATGGAAGATTCAGATTTAGTTTTCTTCCACACATCTTCTCCTGTGATATGCAAACTCTGAGCCACTCTTCCCATGCTTACCTCCAGATTTTGGCAAAAGCGGTTTTCAGTGGTATACCATCATAATGTGGTGTATTTTTCACACATGAATAATATAGCCAAGCCATTTTCCTATCAATCCATCTGCTTCAGTTAGCTCAGATCTCTGTTTATCCATTACTAATTTCTTCCCAAACTCAGTGACAATAATACAAATCACTCAAAACTTTGAAATACATATGACTATCTATTAGTTAATGTATTGTCTTAGAGCTAGCCTTCCAAAGCCTCTTTACTCTGATGCCATCTGGGTAATCTGCTCTTCGACCTGCTGTGCAACTATGATACGAGGATGACTCTGACCCTCATCCTGAATGCACTGCTTACTTCTTTCCTCCTGTGTCCCTGTGTCAATTAACACATTTGCATAAGCTAATCAATGTCTTCCTCTCTCAGTTTGTTGATGTATTTTGGTGTCATGATCTTCAGTAGCTGCTTGAAAAACAGTAGATAGATGGTAGATAGGTAGAGAGAGAGAGAGACAGAGACAGATATATATAGAGAGAGAGATGGGGATCTTGCTAACTGTTTGCCTGCTGGCCTCGAACTATGATACTCCCAATCTCTACCTCTTGAGTATCTGAGCCATGGTGAGCAGCATAACCTTTACTTCTTTTAACCTTGGTTTCATTTACCAGGTTCACCATCTCATCTCTCTGAGGTTTCATTTGTGTACATTTTAAAAACTGTTTTTTGCTCCCTGCATTGTCTTGTTCCTAGTTATCTTTGTTTGGTTTGTCAGCTTTTTCCTCTCTCCTGTGAGAGCTTGTTTTCAGATGTGTAGTTATTCAGGGCCATGCATTTATAGTTAGGTAACATATCAAATTGGGCTTGTTGCAGTGGTGTGCTTCTCTAGAGAGTTATCAGGCAGGTTCTTGGCCATGGCATTGAGATCATACAGGTCAGTAGCTAAAAGTAGCATCTCTCAGATGGATGGATTCTCTTTTCCTACTTAAGGACAGTAACTAGCTGCAAGGACTCAGAGAACTAAGAAAGTCTTCTGTAAACAGGCTCTGACACCCTTGTTTTCTGAATGATGCCAACACTTTCTATTAACTTTTTATCCCCAATTGTAGGGTCCCTCTGGTGTCTCTGAGATTGGACTTTTCTAGTCTCTTTTTGAGGCACTAAAGAGTTCCACTTTCTTCATATAGCTTGACCTCCTTGACAAACTTCTAGTCATCTCTTTAATTTGAATTCAACCATTGTCTTCTCAAACTCAACTCCAGTCATTCGTGTCTGTGCTGATCAGTGTTCCAATTGTTGACCACACTTGTATTCAGTGTACATCACATTAAAGTAATATCTCATATTAAAATGATTTAAGTTTCTGGCATCCTTGAAGTGGAATGTTTTATCATTTTAATTGAGAATTCTGACTCCTTAAGCAGTGCCTATCACACATTTGACACACAAGGCAAATTTTCTTTAATAGTTGTCTTAGAATTTGAGTTTGATTCTTAAATTTATCTTTGATATTTCCTGGCCTCTGAACACAACATCTCCCTCACAGGTTCTTTTGAGTGTCAAACTAACAAAATAGATGAGAAAGCACTTAGTTAAACATAAACTGCTAAATGATTATACATTTTACTTCTACAAGTTCAAATTTCTATTAATAACTATTAAAATGTATACAGCATTAGGCATAGTGCTTGATTACTTAGTATAAAATATGGCAATGAGAACTCGACTATTTATTGAATACTCACTCATCGTGATACAACTCTTGGCTGTCACAGATCTTGTCTTTGCTAACCTTGGTGCTCTGCAGTGACAGTCTTCTAGATGTTTCTGGAAAACTCCTGTTCAGCCTTACTTTAAAGCTTTCCTAGTTTCCACTCCAACTGTCTGCAAACTTCTGTTACCACATCTGTGTGCCTCACCCTCGCTTCTTCAAAGTATCTGCTTCCTCAGACCACCTTCCATCCATTTTCCTCCCTCATTGATTTATTTTCCTCACTAATTTTTCATCTCCAACTAGGATGTCAGGTCAACAGTACAAACCTTTTTTTCTGTTTTGTTCAATGTTGCATTGTTAGTGCAGAGATAAGAGACAAATATCCTGTAAATAATAGATACTTTTACAACAAAGATGTGTATGTTGACTATCATACTTTGTTCTAAATGATGTATTCACAATCTAATTTAATAATAACAATTAACACACCTCTGTGACATGTGATTGATAAAGTATAGAATTGCTGCAATATAAATTTCAGTTCTACACAGCAACAGCCTTAATTTATCAAAATTTATTTTATGTTGCTTTTTAGGCATTTTTAATCATTAATGGCATGTTAACTATGACAAAGGTTATACTGTATATGTAACTTTTTCTCTTTCTCCCATCGATAAAATGTTTCTTTTTTAGATCGCAGACAAGTTTAGGACTCAATGTGCATTTTGGAATTACTCACCTGATACCATGAATGGTAGCTGGTCTCCAGAGGGCTGCGAGCTGACTTATACAAATGCGACCCACACTTCTTGTCGCTGTAATCACCTGACACATTTTGCAATTTTGATGTCGTCTGGTGCTTCAATTGTAAGATTATCTTCTACTGCATCTTCATAAATCTGCCCATCCGCTGTTTTTTCCTGTTCTTTCACCATGTAATTGAATAGAGTAATTGTAGGTTCTCTTGCATGTAATAACCACATTTAGTGTAATTGTAAAACCCCAGCATTGTATTTCTTTCAGTCTTTGTTTTCCTTCATGCCTTCTAGGAAATACATAGTGTGGATTTAGGTTATTTCTAACCTCAGACTTCTTTAATCCGTATTCTCTGGTAGATAAGATTGTATATGAAATACAAATCCATTGATTCTTAGTTTTTTATGCTGCTTTCATTATCCATTTACACATTCTAATGCATCATGGAATTTAAGGCCTTTTGCCTTTGCACTGATGGTTCATTTTTATCAGTGACAAAGTACTCAAAATATTTCATACCTGAATAATAATTTTCAGCATGTTTATAGCTAATATCATATGTTTTATAATGTTGAAACCCACAAAACTTTCAAGCATGAAAAATCTTTTTAAAGTGAGTAATTTCATCTTATATATGATTTTCATAATATCTTACATTATGTAATTATTGCATCATTTCATAATTTACATCTGTATAATAATTTTCATTGGATTATATACTTCCATACATACTTTTCATTACTAAGTACACTAAATGGCCTGATAAATTTGTCCAAAGCAATGTCATTTATTGACATAAGTTTTGATCAGGCATGGCAGTGCATACAAGTAATCCCAGCTACTTGGGAGGTAGAGATCAGGAGGATCACCACTTGAGGCCAGATCAGGTAAAATGTTAGTGAGAACCCATCTCAAACACCACCCAGCCAGGCATAGTGGAGCATGTCTGTGGTCCCAGATACATGGGAGGCAAAAGTATGAGGATTGTGGTTCAAGGCCAGCCCTAGACAAAATGCAAGACTCTATCTGAAAAATAGCTAAAACAGAAAAAGGGTTATAGGCATGCTTAGCAAGCCAGGGCCCCTGAGTCCAAATCTTGATACCACAAAAAGAAAAGAAAACATGATTTCTTTCAGGATGATACTTAAGCAAAGAAGCCTCTATTCTGTATATAAAAATAAATACTCATCTAATTAAAATAAAACCAAGTTTTCCCATTTCTAAGTTTCTGAACTGGACTAGTTGGTCTTCTGTATCTTCAGCTTTTCTTATACCTTTGTTTAATGTGTTTTAGATGAATTGCTTCATAGAAATAAGACTTACCACTGATAAATCTGTTTTAATTAACCATTTTCCCATTACAATAATGAATTACCTCTCCAATATCATGAAACTGATGACGATAACATTCTTAAGCCATGCACTAATATATATTATGCTTAGGGAGAAAGTCACTACTCACAGTTCTGTTAAGTGCTATGTGATTTATATCAGGTTTTTCTGGATGGTAAAGATTTTCAAAAGTACAAATTTTTCTCATCTAAATATATGTTTTTATTTTTACATTTTATGAACATTTTGATTAATGTTCCACCAAGAAAAGAAGGTTCATTACACATTGTAGTTCCTTTGACAAGTTACTGAATTATTCTCTTAACAGCTTTATTATTATTTTCCCTTAGGGTATTAAAGATTATACTATCCTTACAAGGATCACTCAACTAGGAATAATTATCTCACTGATTTGTCTTGCCATATGCATTTTTACCTTCTGGTTCTTCAGTGAAATTCAGAGCACCAGGACAACAATTCACAAAAATCTCTGCTGTAGCCTTTTCCTGGCTGAACTTGTTTTTCTTGTTGGGATCAATATAAACACTAATAAGGTAAGTAGAACTTCCTACTGTCTATTCTCATTTCCTCTTTTTGTACTTTCTGAAATAAATATGTGAAAGACACATGAGTGATAAATAAGGGCTTAATGCAAAAACATGCTACATAATTTCTTATTAAGCTATCTAAGTTTGATAATGCTAACATATGTAAGCAACCTGCTTTTTAAATTTTTAAAAATTTTATTAGCATATAATAGTTTTACAGGAGGATACATTGTGATATTTACAAATGTGCTTATAATATATCTTAGTTAGATCTACCCCCTCCATCATTCTCCATCAACAATTTTAGCAGGTGTCATTCTTCTATTTTCATATATGAATACAAAAAATACACTCACCATATTTACCTTCATTCACTCTTTCCTTATGCCCACTCCCCTCCCACTGGTGCCCACTCCCAGGAAAGGCCTATGAAGAAATGCCCAACATCATTGGCCATAAAGGAAATGCAAATCAAAACAACATTGAGATTCCACCTCACCCCAGTCAAAATGGCTACAATCAATAACACAAACAACACCAAATGCTGGATGAGGATGTGGTGAAAAAGAACACTTCTACACTGTTGGTGGGGATGTAAATTAGTTCAATCACTATGGAAAGCGATATGGAGTTTCCTCAAAAAACTAAAAAATGATCCAGCAATACCACTCCTGGGCATATCTCCAAAAGAATGTGCTCCAGAAAATGAAAAAAAAAAAGGAATGTGCTCCAGAATATGATAGAGCCACTTGCACACCTGTGTTTATTGCAGTATTTACAATAGCCAAGCTTTGGAAACAGCCCAGACTCCCCACCACTGATGAATGGATTAGAAAATGTGGGATACATACAAAATGGAAATTCAACCATAAAAAAGAATGAAATTATTTTGTGTGCTGATAAATGGAACTGGAGAACATCATCTTAAGTGAAGTTACACAGGTTCAGAAAGTCAAAGGTCGCCTGTTTTCCCTCATATGTGGAAGGTAGACATGTAAGCCAAATGTATATATAAATATATACATAATCATATATATATACATATATACATAGTAAGAGAAGAAAATTTTATTAGTGAGTCTATCTGAGGGTCTGACTATGAGAGGTAGGAGAGGTGTTAGAGAATGAAAAATATTGAAATAACCCATCTATATATGAATATAATATAACCAACTGCACCATAGCTGTTGAATATTTGGGAGCATGGTGATAAAGTAAATAATGAGGGGAGTTAATTTGATTAAAGTACTGCATGCCTAAAGAACCAAGACAAAACCCCACTGGATTATTAATAGACACTTAAAAATGAAGGACAGGAGGTAAAATAGGCTTAAGCATCTTGCTTCTCTAGTCCATTGGTCAAAATTCACTGCATTATGATGAATTACCAGGAAATTTAAAATCCTGCAACAAACAGAAGAAATAGTTGTTTTGTTTATAGATTGATTTTAAAGGACAACCAAAGAGTGATTAAATTGGAGGTAAAATTTATTTTAGGATAGGGATTAAGCATAAAAGCAGGTAGGGTTTATACATTGGTTCTGCCTATTCTCAGAACTTTTCTTAAACACCTATTTCTCCCCTGATTATTGATCTAAGGCCTTATCAAATGGTTTCATATTGTGTTAATCTAGGTCCTACTAGAAGCTGACACTAAAGTGGGATTAAACATGTGATACATTTTATTAGGAGGAGTGCCTGTGAGAGAAAATTAGTAGAGCTGGCTTGGAGACCCAGCAGACCAAAATGCAGTCTGACTCCACAAGAAGGAAAGAATGAAGAGAGCTTTACACAGCGATCCTATTTTAAGGAATGTTCATCACAGGTGTTAAGGAGTTCTCTGAGTTGCCCATGAGCCAAAGTCACCTGTCTGAGAAATCCTCCATCCTTCAGGGACAGGGATGTCTTCCTAACCCTCTCTACTCAGGCACTTGCTGGCAACAGCTGGTGGGAGTTGTGAACATGGTACTGGAGTTCATACAATGACAGCAGCTGCAGCTATGGGTCTATTACACTCCTTTCAGTCAGAGATAAAGAAATATATTCTCGTGATGATAAAGCAGGGAAGTGCTTTCATATTTTCATTCTTCTTTAGAAATGTTTTAATGACTACAACTAACAATTATTATCAAGCTTCATTTCTGAAGTGGATGCCACTGATCATCTATTCTAAATAATATACACTGGGTTATAAATTCCATATGTTTTCATGATTTGCAGTGGTGTTCATCACACTGTCAATTTAATAGACCTTTCACAATCTTCCAAGATTATTTTGTCTTTCAGTTTCCTTCCATCATTATCTTTGCTTTAAATCTATTCCTTACAGTGTTCTCTATCGAATCATTCCCATTTTCAACTGTATCTCAACTGTCAATGAAATAGCTCCCAAATTTTAATTGTCAGTGATTCTGTGCTCCTCAATCTTATATATTACTCTCCAATGTATTTTAATCCATGATCTCATTATTCTTGACTTATGTAGTGTTTTAATAAGTAGAATAGGTATGTGTATTATGTTATCTTCCCACTGATAGGTTCTACTAACAAAGGGGCTTGTATCTACTTTTTCTGTTACTTCTTACAAGCCTACCTCCAGTCTAGGTATACAGTAAATACTCCTAAATCATGTTTACCTGAAAGCCATCTCAAATTTACTTAATAATGTCATAAATTAAAACAATTATATAAAGGATACTTTAGTAAAGCATATTATTTTTCTTTATAAATTTAAATTTAACATTTAATCTTTATTTTTTAGCACAGTATACCAATAATTTTCATACTTTGAACATATAAAAGAAGAAGATGAGAGATACCCCCAAACCAGAAATCAATATAAATCACATATTCACCAAGATAGCACGGTTTACATGTGAACAAGCCACAATTTGTCACATAACATAAATGTATAAAAATGATAAACTTCTGGGGAAGAGCAGAAGCCCAGTTCTATCACAGGATTGGTTAATGTTTCACATTTGATGAAGCACATTCCTTTTAAATCAGCTAGCATCTTAAAAAACCGACATGACAGAAATTCTTTAATGTGATCAATCATCATATAAAGTGGCATAATTTATAGGGAAAGATGAGATGTGATGTTATGGTCATTTTAAAGTAGAAATTGCTTATGGTTTCTTTCTTTGATTTCTAGCTCTTCTGTTCAATCATTGCTGGGTTGCTCCACTACTTCTTTTTAGCTGCCTTTGCATGGATGTGCATTGAAGGCATCCACCTCTATCTCATTGTTGTGGGAGTCATCTACAACAAGGGATTTTTGCACAAGAATTTTTATATCTTTGGCTATCTCAGCCCAGCTGTGGTAGTTGGATTTTCAGCAGCATTAGGATACAGATACTATGGCACCACCAAAGTGTAAGTTATGATTTATTGAGCATTTGAAACACAGTTCTTGATATTCTTTGAATGTCTTTGAGAATATTGCTTTGGCAAAGTGCATTCAAATATATTCATGGATTTTATCTATTATTTACTTTTCAGATGCTGGCTTAGCACAGAAAACAACTTCATTTGGAGTTTTATAGGACCAGCGTGTTTAATCATTCTTGTACGTATATATAAAATTATTATTAAAATTCAAAGGAGCTATGATTAAGAGGTGCCTAAAATTCCCAGAAATCATGCATTATAGTTGACAAAAAGAATTTGGAGCACTTTGCAGTATATTTATTAACATTTTACATATATTGCATTTCAATAAAAATACATAACTTATAAATTCAAAGCAATTGTCACTAATTTTCCCCCTTGGGGAGGATAGACTGTTTTGTACAACATAGGAAGAAAACATTTTTCACCTATCAGTAGTGTCTCTTCATGCTGCAATACTGAGAGTGTGCCAACCAGCTGATAATCTGGCATCTCAAATGTTTAGGTTATTTACTCTTTTATCGATGATCGGTCATCTTTGAAGATTATACTGTCATCTTTATGTACCCTGTCATCATAAAGTGATTTTAAACTAAATTGCAACGTCAGAGACAAGAACCCACTATTTCTCATGACAGACAAGTCATATAGTGATAGTCCTGTTTCAGCAAGGAAGAGGGCCTTTTAATTCTTATTGAAAGTGGTTTCAAACCTACAAATTTGGCAGGTATTATATGTTCCATTCTAAATAAAGACATTTTTATATGCCTCAAGAGCATTTCTAAGTGCTGAAAGTTTTCAACAGCCTTTCTGAATATAATAGTCTGTCAATGAATCTGGGAGGTCTGACAAGACTCTACAATCAAATGAATTGTCGGTAGAGGATTGTAACAATATTTTGGAGAACTTTGTTCCATATGTTTTGAGCATAAGCTGGCCGTTCTTTTGATTTTTTTTTTTCTTTTTGTCTTTTCCCTTAAGTCTTTTATGGTTGTGAGGAAGCTGCTAAGTATAGAAAGACTTGAAATGCAAAGCAGACTACTTTCATCAAGCTTTATTTTATAATTGTGTGGTAAAAATCAAGTACATTCAGAAATTATATTTCCTAATCATCACAGAAAATTGTCTCTAATTCTCACAATTAATCTAGCAAATGTATTTAAAACTACTGGCTAGATTTCAGATAAAATAATTTGGCCTAATTTATGATAGCTCCAGAATTTTCAATCCACATAAGAAAACATTTTCATTGGTGGCTCTGACATGAGTATTTCACAAGAAGACATTCTGTGTATTCTGTTTTATTGATTCCCTCTCTGCAGTGAACCATGTCTGATATTGTGAAGATTCTGTGGAACAATGATTCTTGGTGTTTAGATGAAAAACAGCAGGATAGAAATTATGATGAAGACAGAAAAATGGGAGCATGTTTCTCTAAAGTTATAAAGAGAAAATACTCTCAGAAATTGTTATTCATACTAGCTTATATAAGAGAAAAGATATTCTATAGTAAGGTATACAAACTTTAGTGGGACTTATCTAAAAATGAGTCCTGCAAACTTTCTAGAAATCTAAATGGACACCACCACACTGTTCTAGTCTGGAATTGATGAATCAATTCATCTTCTGTACAGTTTGAGAAAATGATGATAATCATTAGTAGGTTAATCAGTAAATTAGGATACTTAGGAAATGGGTAAGGCATCTCAGTTTTCCCTAAAACTAGTAGTGGTTTTATTTATAGCAACTTTTAAAATAGGAGAAACTTTTAATTACTGAATCAAAGTGAATTAGCTAACTCTAGTTATTCCTGTTCTATACTAATGCTGGCATTTATTATTATTATACAACCACATAACATGATGTTAAATGAAACTTGTCTTATTCCCCTAGAATAGTATCTAGCTCAAAAATAAAGTCAAAGAGATTGAGCACCAAACCTTTTTGAACCAAGACTCCTACAGGTCTTACAAAGAAACATTATGACCAGAAGTAGCCCAGAAAGAGGACTGGAGATAGGGATTCAATAGAGACCGCCCAGAGTTAGAAGTCCTGAGCCCCTGGGGGAGTACAGTGTTCTCTGAAGCATTTGTTTCCATGCCAGTGAGAAAGAAAGGTGATGCTCCTCCATCTTCTGTAGACCAACAAGATATGAAGGAGTACTCCATAAGGTGTGTGGAAAGTAGAATCAGAAGCAATAAGAAGAAAACTAACTTCCTGATCCTAGATTGCTAGTGTGACTGCAGAAATTTCATATCTCCCTGATCTGTAAGAAAAACAATATAATGAGCACATTTTTAGAGAGATCTCTGATATATGTCTTCTGATTTGAGGCCAAATGTGAACATAGAGACTCACACCTGCTTTTGTTTAGAGTTTCCTGCAGGCTTCATGCTTATTAGAGTATCCCTCAACAGCAGGGAAGAAAATAGTTATTATATAGTATGCCTAGCAACAAAATGATGGGGAAACACACAAAAACTTCAGCTATTCTAGTTAGAGAACTGTTGCCAGGCATGGTGATGCATGTCTATAATCTCAACAACTTGAGAGGTTGAGGCAGGAAGACCAAAAGTTTGAGGCCAGACTTGGCTATACAGAAGACCCTATCTCAAACCCCATTACCCACTCTCCCCAAAAAAGGAAAAGTTACAAGAGTGGAAAAGAGTAGAAGGCTTCCTTAGGTCAACTGAAGTTACAGACCAATAAGAGAATGGATCGAATACAGACATGGATGTCTCTCTCTAAAGAACAGAAGTGACCAAGGTGGAAATACAGTATATGAACAGCAAAAAGTATGTATATATAATATATATACTTTATATATATATATACTTAATATATATATATAAAGTAGAGACAATTTTATAAGCCAAGAATATCAATAGTAAATAAGAACTAAACTAAACTGAAGTGATGTTGTGAAGCTCCCTCCCCACCTCCCACCCTTATAAGTATATCAGATCCTTCTAGTCACAACTGGAGAACAACCAAAAGTGGGCAATAGGAAAACAGAATCCTAGAACCAACCTTGCAACTGCTGCACTCATCTATATGGATACAAACCGTATGTAGTCTAAAATTATTCAGGGCAAAAGAAGACCAGATTTCTTTTGAATCAAAAATTACTAAAAGCTTTGTCAGTGCCTGGAGAAAAAACTTAACTTTTATGTTAACAAACAAACAAACCTCTAATTCACTAAGTAGAACTTCCTTTCTAAATGGGGTTCAAATTTTCGAAACTGATCAGTTGTCATTGAGCTTAGAAATTACTTATCTATATCTTAAGAATATACTGGTAGGAAAAGATGTCATCGTATTATTAAGTGTACCCTGTCAATTAGGTGCTGAATATTTGGGAGTACAAAGAAAACAGTATAATATATTATTTGGCATATTGTAAGAACTTTATAAATGCCACAATATAATCCCACTCAACACAATAGAATACATATATGTATAGAGAGAGAGAGAGAGGGAGAGAGACAGAGAGAGAAAATATATATTTATATATATATTTATAAATATAAATATTTATATTTATAAAGAAATAGAATTATCTTCTGCCAATGAGAATGTAAGACAAAGAACAGTACATAATTAAATATAAGTGATACTGATGAGATGTGGTATAGATCATTACAAGGTACCTCAAAGTGCAACAAGTCTTCATCAGGATGGAGAACCTTCATTTTGGATGCAGCAAGAAGCAGATTTTGATTTTTTATGATAGGGCATGGACAGAGGGTACAAATGTGAACATAAGTTTCTACAAAGCAGCCCTGGCTGCCCAGATCTTTTTTGAGAGAAAAGAAAGGACAGAGCAAGAAATAGTATTGAAAACCAGGCAATACCTGGAATAAACTAAAGTATGATCACCACTTTATTGCTAAGCATATTCAAGAACTACCTTTTCGTAAAGTCACAACTGATCTAGATTGTCATTAATTATTTGTCAAATTTTATGTTCCTAGATAAATTCATTTATTTCTTCTTCCTTTTTATAAAGAGACCTTTGTTATCACTCACAAAATATCTAGTATTAATAACAATGAGTTTGTTAAATTTATAATTTCTTGAATATCTACTACTTCTGAAACACATGGATAATACATTAATACTCAATCTCCTTAAATCATCCATGTTTTTTTTACCCCATCTTACAGTTAAAGAAGCAGGGGATATGTTTACAATGTTAAGTGATTGGCCTCAAGCTATAAGCATACTTGTAAATGTTGGGGCCAAAACTTGAAGCTATTGCTTGCCTTAATCTAAAACCAATCATTCATTTTGCATTGTCTTTTTTTCAATTGCGTTTTAGCTTATCTTTATCCTACCATTCTCTCTTATTTCAAGTTAATCAGGCAGAATAAACTGGCCTCCCAAAAGTAAGATAATGGGAACTATTAATGATATAATTTTAAACACTAGTATATCAGTGGTATCAAACATTCTGCATGTATACCAAATTTAATCTAATCCTTTAAACAATTAAGAGTTGTATATGTGTGTGGGGGGGGTGTTTGTGTGTGTGAGAGAGAGAGAGAGATTTGTTTTACCTTGAAGTAGGAAACATTGAGGTACAATGAAGTAGAGAGACTACATTTTTCTCAATGGCCAGCAAGTACCCAAGCTGGACTCTAGGTCGATATGTAAATTTCTTGGTAATCCAGCTAACCTCTGCTCATTTTCAGCTTTATTCCACACTATATCTCTATATTACATTTATCCTTTTCAGAATACTTGCTATCTCTTCTCAATAATACTGACACAGAGATACTGAAAAGTTCTACTGTTTGAAATCATATTATCAATTAACTTATAGAATCGTGAATCCCAGGTTTGTAATTAATCTCTCTAACATGTTCCCATAGAATTTTAATTCTAACCCTTCTCCATACTTTTAATGCTCTGTTTTTATAGCACATGATAATTTTCTTTGTGTATTGCACTACCTTTGGATCACCTCAGAACATAGAAGTGCTTAACAAGTCTTCAGTAATTAACTGAATTTTAATTGCTCCACTAATAAGATCATAGTAATGCATGAGGTAGCAAGAAAGGCCATGTGTTTCTTCAACTATTTTACTACACTGTGTCCTGGATTTCTAATTTATAAATGAAGATAACAGTGTCAGGCCAGTGCAAGAAGACTTTGGTAAAAAAATAGAATATTTT